CGTAACCGTGCGACTGCTGCTGATCGTAGCCGTGGGGTGCGACGGCGCCGGCACCGTAGTAGGCGTTGCTTTCGCCGTGTTGGTCGTATCCGCGGTCGGCTAAGAGGTGTGTTAGCTTTGCTACGCTATGCTGACAAGCTAGGGAGAATAGATGACGGCAACGCAGCTACGAGCTCCGAACTCTCCGAGCTTCGGGCTTCACAACTACGCCGCACTTGCTATTCCACTCAGTCTGGGATAGGTGACTTACCAACAACAGCAGTAGAAGGAGCACCCTCAGGGTGTCCCCACTGAGCAACACGGGTGGCCTCATTCACATAATACCACTGCTTATACTGCTCATCGAATCTCGCAGCCCAACCAGCAGGAGCACGTCCAGGAACAGGAGGGGGGAAAGGAGGAGGGGGGTAATAGGCCTGCTGATCGTAGGAAGGCGCGGGAGCACCATACTGGGGCTGAGGAGCGTAACCCTGGGGAGGAGCTCCGTATCCGGGGGTAGGGGGAGCTCCGTAAGGAGCAGGAGAAGGAGCTCCGTAGGGAGCAGGAGAAGGGGCTCCGTAGGGCGCAGGTGAAGGGGCTCCGTATCCAGGCTGCTGGTAGGGCTGCTGCTGCTGGTATTGAGGTTGGGGAGGGTAGCCTTGGGGAGGTGCTCCGTAGCCGGGGTAGCCGTCGGGGGCGGAACGCTCCTCGCTGTGCTTGTCTTTCTTTTTGTCGTCGCCCATGAGGGACTCGAAGTCGGAGGTGAGTTTCTTGAAGAAAGACATGGTATGGTGTCTTGTGTGTTGAGTTGAAGATGGAGTAGTGAGGTGTAAGATGTGATGGGGAGGAAGGAAGGCTTGGGCATAAGAAGAAGGATGGGGATCTTATACAACGGAACCAGAACGGCAGATCGACCCCGCGCGACCTAAACAGAGACCCCGCATTGTCACTTGGCGAGGGTCCAGAAAGTACCAAAGCCAAGAGATATTTTTGATGCTCGACCCCGCGGTGGTGTGAGCGTGAGCTTCCTAGCGTGGGTTTCTCGGCGCAAGTGTGCGCGGGGACACGCAATCCTCATCATATGCGGTGTTTCGGTTGAGCATATACAGCGCAGTACCAAGACTTGCGGAAGATTATGGAATGTCAGGATACCCATATGTATCTGGAGTCGTTTCGAGGGTCCTGTGCCTGTAAAGTAAGCCTCGTCGGATTATCACAGGGAATATTGATATCTGGCTTTTGATCCAAGCCCTTGGAATCATCTTGGCTTACTGAACAAAGACCGGTCAAGGTGTCGGATGTTTACAGCCTGTAAATTGTCGTGAGCAATCGGTTTGTGTCAAACAATCATTTGACGAACAAACACTTACAGACCTCGTGCTGAACGTTACTGGTTCTCCTTTCTTTCGGTGATATGGTAACCATAGAAAAGAACATACGCGTCTTCTATCCCATGGCGGGGAAACAGACGGTGTCCAAGACAGTAGTTGAGATCTAGACATACTTCTTCCAAGCCTTTTAAAAGATGTCGAATTTCCCCAAAACGTGGCTCAGATCTTGGCGGTTGGCATGGCAACATAGTAAAGTTAGAAGACGTTGGCGAAGCGAAGTCGCATCCGGTGGACATGATCTTGATGAATCGTGGATCCGTGAATCGTTTCAAAGTGATGAGAAATCAGAATATCATGATTCTTCAGGAAACACCATCAAGAAACTACCAGATGTCGTCGAATTAAGGTTATATGTAACCGCTCCTGTTGCCACCGCGGAGGACACTCCGACACCCTGGCAGCGGCTGGCTTTTCCTCGTCTCCATATGTGCAGCCTTACGGTGACTCCGTCCGGTTGCGGAGAAACATGCGGTGAAGTGCATACCCCGTCACTCTGTCGCACGTCGTACATACACACATCAGACATCCAGACCTTCAAAACGTTCAAAGCTGTTTCTGAGGCACAGTTTCGGGAACGCTCCAGCACATAACCACGGGTCCGCGCACTCGGAGTTTCCGGCTCGGCGAAAGCGCAGCGAAGCAGAAGCAAAGGGAAACCAGGCAAACTCGGGCGTAGGCAACCCATGCAGCAAATCCTAGCGCCTCGGCGACATTACGCGTCCCACCGCGCTTATCGGATTAAGCCTTCGTTTAGCGGGGTTTCGGTTTCTCGGCGTACCGACAGGGTATGGCAGCCATATCGGCAGTGGTGCATGGCCCCCTGTCAGGGCGCCAGCGGGGAGCCCAACGGATGCAAAGACAACCGAAATCAACAGCGGCCAAGGGCTCGGCAAGGGCGGGTAGCCGAATCAGGGTACCCAAGCTGTTCACCTCCGCACAGCTTCGTCATGGCACCGAGATGCTTCGTGTTGCTTCATCCCCAAGGTGCTTCAAAAGATGCTGAAGTTTGGCTGGGCCGTGGAATCAAGCCTTTCGTTGTCGTAAAGAAGCCTTTTACAAGACATGACAAGCCCTGCTTTGCGTCTTCGTCTTCTCGGTACGGGCGGACCATCGAAGATCTCGGGGAATTCTGCCATCCATCCATCTGTCGGAGCTCGGATCCTAGACTGCTGTATATACAAGCTGCGGATAGATGCGATCAGCGTGTGATCCGTGGACGAGAGCGGGAGATTACATTGCCAAGCCGGGGAGAATGGGGAGAAGTTGCTGCTTGCCCTAATACTAATTTCGCTGTTGTTGCTTGCCGACTGGCCGAAGGCACGCTGGGTTTGTAATTGTCATCTGTTATAGGGGTTTCTTTTGTTCCTCTGCTTGCTGCGTGCGTGGTATCGTGTTTGACGAAGGTGGTCGCGTGTCTCTGAGAGAAGAGGATAAATGAGGGTTGCTAATTTTAGAACGATAGTATGCACGTCAATAGCCCCAGCTTCCACTGTCCGGCTTCCCTCTTTCCACTGTGTTTCTTGTCCTTCACTTTTGTCTCCGTCTTTCTTTCTCCAAACGCAATGATACCTCACGGCACAGCGACTTTACGACTTCCTGAGCGAATAACGCATCATCTTAAAGAAGACAACAGGAAAGGGATAGATCAAGGACCAAGGTTGCCGGATACACTCATAAACTGAGGATAAAACTGAATGAGCCTGCGTAGAGTACTGCTGCTAGGAAATTTTGATAGCTAACCGAAGTACAGAAGCCTCTTAGAACAGTCACAGCAGAGCACAATCTATCGTCATCACTTAATTCCACAGCATCGTTTGATTTAACAGCATCGTTTCGCGAGCTACAACGATACAACATCATGATTCGATTTGGTGCAATACGGTACCCCAGCTATCTTCTACCTGTAACACGCACCGATTACTTAGTACCAATCGAGAACTACTCTCGCTTCACTCTCGCTATAATCTTGTTTGAAGAAGAAACCAAGACTCGGAATTTGTTCGGAATTTTCTCCAAGAACTCAGAGGTTGGGGATTTGTTTCTACTTATTTTGTGATGTATGCACGCAGCACGCGGTGAAGGACAAAGACATGCCGCATTCTATGTCAAGGTTGCCGCTCCGGCCGGTTGCAGCCCGTCCACAGAAGATCTGCAGCATATGACACACCGTGCAAGTGGGGTGAATGTGAATTCTAAGCATTACACGGAGACATTTTGTTTGCACTGTCCTTTCGTCACGGTGTACATGAGAAGACCAAGAAGTCAACACGTATTTCTGTGATCCGCTTATACAGTTACTCCGTTCATTGAATACGGTTGGACGTGACGTGAAACTAGTAAACTAAGTTGTCGAGGTAAGTAAGTACTCTAAGCACGATACACCGTACTTTTTTTGTTTACATCATACTTGTATTCAGGCCGGTGCGGCCTATGACAGTTACTATCCGGCCAACTAATGAAATAACTTAATGAAATTCCCTGTCAGCCGCTTCCCCTTGTTCCCTCCTCGATACACCGTACACGATGTAGGATACAGTAGAGGTTTCGTTTTCTCTTTCTCTTCAACGCGCTTCACGTGAATTGCAATTCGCGAATTGAAAGAAACAGCGATTGTTAGATACAATTCGTTTGACATGTTGTTCGTGTACAGTGTGAGACGAAACAGACGTGAAACAAACTTGTCACAAACCAGTGTTGAGTAAAATGAGTGAGTGATTAGATAGCACAGATGCACTCTTTGTGGTTATGCATCATGTAACATTATGAAGGATGTAGAGCCCAAGGTCTGGACCCTGTATTTTCCGTGATGTAGAAAGATGTAGAGAAAGATGAATAGCTAGACTACTTACACGAAATACGTTTTAACTTTGTTCTAAGCTTACTTTGATCTCTCGAGTTGCGTTTTGGTATGACGTAAGATGTTGAAGGCACTGACAAACATGAAACTGATACCCATGCACCTACTATATGTAGTTCCGAATTTCTTTCTTAAGCATAACAATAGGAGCAGCCTCGGTGGTACGCTGGGTGCATGACAGATCCAAGCATTCTCAGAGTCGCTCCATCGTTTTGATTCCAATACAAACGTAAGCTTTGGCCAAAGCCAGAACTGTTTTTCTTCCGCTGTAAATAAGTAATGATGACGCACACCTCTGTTCGGCGGCCGTGGTACGACATCATGGGACATCACGCGATTTGTCGTAAGTAGCCGGGACGAGTAGATCTTATCAGACTTCTTATCCAAACTACACAATCAAATAACCCTTTTCACGCGTTTCTGAGGGTGTGTGATTTGGATGAGAAGTTGGATAATATCTACGCTTTACACAAACAGTCGACGAATCCGAGTGATCTTGTGTGTAACTTCGTGTGTGGTGAAAAAAACCAATTTAGTCAGCTTTCTCTGGTTTATTAGCTGATCCCAAAGAACAGCCAATAAAAAGAGTCGATCGAGCATGAAAAAGTGCAATCCTAAAGCGCTAGCTAGTTTAGTGAGGCTCAAAGTTCCCGTGACGTTGCACCCGAGTGATCCCATGCGTCGGCAAACGCTCTGACCAAAAGTCCATAATTCAAACTCCGTGAACTAGCTCGCCCAATTAAAAAAAATGAAGGCCAGAGCAGCAAAGAGAATGCCCGCGGCTGGAGTTGAACCAGCGATCTTCCCAGATCTAAGCCAGGCCGTTCCTGCCATCAGTCGGCTAGTACTAGGTCTGTTAAGAGTAGAATGTGATACCACTACACCACGCGGGCCTTTGTATGTTTTGTACATATTGGAACTAATACACATACTAAAAATTGTTACGTGATATTATGTGTACTTTACTAATTACTAAGATAACCTGCGGGCTGCACAATACTCAGCCCTTCTAACTTTGCAAACTCACGATTATCACCACCGAGTGGCCACGCCCCCTTTTCATAGGTAACAATAAATGCTACCTACTACTTATGCCATCGCAAATTTTACCTGAAACTGCTGCGATACCGGCATCATAGTTTTGAAAAATACCGTATCCGTGCAGCAAATTGCAATTCAACCACTGTTACTAAATCGTACGTTGCAAGCAGTACCCAATGGACACGCAACAAAATCGATTCACCATACGAAGCATAAGGGCCTGGTTTATCACAACATCTAGTCCTCGTGAAGCTGTGCCGTGGTCGTGGGATTCTCCTCTATTGAATCATATTCACACATGATAACAAGTCCACGGAGCGAACGGTTACTTAATACACCACCGCGTTGCTACTCTACTCAGCCTTCCGGTGCTTTCTTGAATGATAAATATACTATCATTCAAAATAAGGTCAAGAATACATATCCCAGTGAGTAACATTGTGCTTCAGCTTGCCTGGAAAAACTCGAATTCAATATAGTTAATATACAATAACGACTTTTTGAATCGCTATGCCTTTCTTCAATCCTAGCCCTATGTAAATTCTTGTTTCACATCTACTCCGCCAATACCATCATATTATCATCTACCTCAGGCCGGTTTGCAGCTACTTACCTTCAAGTGCATCAAAAGATCCCCCCAATTAAACCCCCACCATGTCGTACCTAATTCTCATCTCACCCCAACCCGAACTTGCAGAACAATCAACCGTCATCGGCTGTTTTAACAGCATCGAAGAAGCAAATAATTACGCAGAGGAAATTGTTTCGCCTGCTAGTCAAACTGGATCAGTATCATCAGTTACGAAGTCTTACAATAGGTTAGGAATGGTCCGTTTTGAGCCAACGTTTGCGCCTGGATGTCCAATATCTAAATATATTTGGGTTGAGCATGAGGGGCAGCGTATGTACTAGAAATTACAACTAGCGTTTAGTCTGAGCCCGGTAGAGTGTAGCCTGGATTTAGAGAATACATATGTATGCTGAATTCTGAAATTTTTCAGGGATATGATGACGAGGTTTTGAGGCTAGATGCATCTACGGAGACCTAAGGTATATATGTGAAGGAGTTAGTTTGGTCTGTGACTCTTTAGAAACATGCTGCTTATGCGTTGCAGCCTTTTGATATTTAACTTAACTTAATGAATTGAACTTTGGAAGCACTTATCGCGAAATTAATCTGCCTTGAAATAAAGATGGTCGGACTAGAAAATCTCCGATAGACCGTTTACTGATCTGTATGAAAGTCATTCAGGTGGCTTTGCTGGTAAGTTGATTCACGAAATATTACTTCAGAAATCACCTCGAGCTCCAAAAACGTAAACAAAAACCATACAGAAAACATTCATTACTGCCACAAAATGAAAGTAAAAACAAAAGCGAAGCACGAAACATTTGTTACAGTCACAAAAAGAAATAAGTAATTCCTTCCTCCGCAAAGCAACAATCAACCAAAACGGACTATTCTCCCTCCAGCCTCGTGACCCATTCGACCTTGCCGATTGCCAGCCTACCTTCATACTAATGCCTTCAAAATTCCTGCCAATGAAAAAGTAGAGAGCGTTTTAACATAAAATGGAGCGAGATATATGAAAGAACCAAAACCACTCGCAGCGAGAAAACTGTGCCGACGCGATCCTACCATGCATTCCATTCCTGGAAACTACTCAATCCGCCGACAGACAAACCTACTCAGCTGTTTGATCCGCTGTTGGTGTGTCGAGGTGGAAGGGATTTGCCGGTATCGAGGGCTCGCGTTCATCAATAGCTCCAGCTCTGAGGAGTAGTTGTGCAGTCGAAGCCTTGTCATTGATAAGTGCATATGATAAAGCAGCCGTCTTTGGGGTTGATATCGATACCATCTATCTGTAAGAGCAGCTTTACAACTGAATCGAGACCACTTCGGGATGCCCATGATAACGCAGTCTGACCATTGAAGCTTTCGGAGTTGATGTCGACACCTTCTGCTTGTAGGAGCAGCTTTACAACTGCATCGTGACCGTTTTCGGAAGCCCATGATAATGCATCGTCACAGCGGTAACCCGTCACGGTGAGTGGAAAATCTTTCCAAGAAACGTGGATAGACATTTCCAAATTTCCCTAGTGGTAGAGTACGAGATGGTTATTCCTATGTTGTGCAACATTTTGCTTGTTCCCGAATCTCATGGCTTGCAAGCTACAGCTCTGCGAGGCCATTATTTACTTCGAACTACTCAACAGGAAATTGAGCGAGATTACTTTATTTCCCACCAACCTTCACGCCCTTAGCTCAGCGTTCACTCAGAGCCAGTCGCATGACTAGCATTTGCAAATGAATCACGGACCATCACTCCCTCCTCAACCATCTCTCATGGCCATCATCATCAACAATCCACAACCCCACCCCGCGCAATCATCCATTCCCATCATAAAACATCTTCAATTACCCTGTAATTCTAGACAGCTACATACATTTGCATTCATAAATCCTCTACAACCCCACCATCACGCTAGCAGTAACGTTAGCGTCGTACCTGCATCGGAACCAGCCGTAGCACGCCGAAGCGAAACCAAGGGTCCACCAAGGTAACCCAAGCCAATCGCCAGCTTCTAGACCCCTAAGCTGTCCTCCTTAATTTCCCTTCATCCTTTATGCTATTGCGCCTTGGAACCCCCGCTTTTCCACCCTCATCGCGTCACAGAATCCAAGCCCACGTGCGCTCCCCGGTCCCCAGAATCATCAGCCGATGAAATCCTACAACATAGCAATTCCAGCGACAATAGCCACTGCTCCTGCCATCCAAGTTCCCACGACCACATTTCCAGCGCCGGTGAGAGGTACCGCTGACGGGGTGACACGCGAATCGGCAGCGAAGGTGGGCGAAGGAGTTGCTGTTGCGGTGGCAGCAACAAATGTTGTACTATCGGCCACAGCTTTGGGAGCCGCGGAGGCAATAGGTGCCATGGTGCTCATATTATCGGGAACCATTCCATTTGCATGTTGTCTTGCATCGTATCCCTTGTTTCCCTTCACATCATCGTCGTCTTCATCGTCCGTGTCGTTATCGTTATCGGTGTCATGGCCGTCATCATGGGATTGCGACTTCACCGGATTGCCCTTCTTATCATCATAATCATCGTGGTCGCCGTCGTTGTTTCCAGCTCCATGACGTCCAACGCTATGCTTCTGCTCCCATTCTTTCCAGTATTTATCCGGTGTACCAGTCGCTCTTGCGGCGACGAAGCTGTTGTAAAGCTTGGCGGCTTCTTGGTAGAGTGCGGTTTTGGCGGGGCCTTCAAGAGCGGTTTGCGTCGCTATGAACATGCAGTCATCGTAGATTGCTTCGTAGGGGTTTGTGGCGGGACGACGGGTAGCGTAGACTGATCCAAGGGCGGAGTTGAAGGCGGGCCAGGCGGGCAAGGAGGTGAAGGTTTGGATGGAGGATTGGTAGTAGTGGAGAAGGGAGGATTGTTGGGCGTTGAGCCTGGCATTGAAATATGGTTAGAGGTGAGGTAAACTGGAGAGCTTGGGGCGCACGTACTCAGCTGCAGATGCAGAAGCGACAAGAAGGGAGGTGAGAACGGTCCAGCGCATTTTTAGTGATGGTTCTTGAAAAAAGAATGTGATGTAGTTGGATAAGTAATCGACCGTGAAACAAAGAACGACGACGGTAAGTTAGCGAACCTAAGGAGCGACGATAAACGAACGACGATCAAAAGGAAAAAGAAGAAGGATTTTCGGGAGATCGGAGTATTTTAACGAAGCGGTCGTGGAAGCCCCTAATCACTGCTTGCTTCCCCCGGCTTTTCCGAACTAGACGCAACTCTAGCTAAAAGTTCATAGTGGGGAGAATTATTGGCGAGGTTGTACCTGCGGAAATGTCCGATAAGTGCAATATATTTCGACGCGTGGGAAGCGACAATCAAGTTGAGCAACCGGGTGATGCAAGTGATGCACGGTGTGTGATAGGGCAGACTTTACTTATTCAATCCGACTTTCCTTCTCTGTTCATCATCTACGTCTCTGCTTTTCTCCGCTTGCAGAGTCGGCATTTCCGGGTATCGATTTTCGGCATTATTGACAGCTGTTCCTAGAGTTGCCTACAGCCAATCGTGAAGTTTCTTGAAATCAACAAAGAAACCAATGGTCTGGAAACCAAAGTGGATCCCCGGCCGGAACTCACGTTACAGAACATCCGATTTCGCATTTCAATTTCGCTTTGTAGAGTGTCTACTCTACTCTCGCTCGCTAGCGATTCCCAGATCCCTGCCACAATCTCGATCAGCACGCCTTACGAGCAAAAGCCCAAATGACGGATCCACTCATGCTGTTTCACGCCTTCCCCGGAAATTCAGACTCCATATGTATGTAGTCATCTGAGACTCTGTGATAGGCGCAAATAAGGTTTTTCGAAAAGTGGTGATCGACAGTATGTAGTTCCTTTCAGAATTTCGCCCGAGCATGCCACGTTGGATGCGAACCCGCGAACCCGCGGAGGACCGACGGGAACCGACGAGTACGTCCTGATTGGATTCCTTATTTCGACATGATATGGGGTATCGTATCAGCAGTCATGCCCCCTGATTTTCGAACGTGGGCCTGACTGAGGACGGAGTAGACGCCGCCGAAAGCCAAGCACGTGCTGCATCCAGAAGGTCCTGAGCAGGAGGGCGAGGGGGGGACGGAATCGAAGCCGCGTTTTGCGCGTTTCCAACGGATTAGCGCACGCGCAGTGGTGGCATGTGTGACCGAAGAAACGCGTCTGTCATGGCAGCCGAGGATGCTGGAACGCCGCTGCATGGTGAATGATGATTCCGAAAACAACGGGATGCGTTAACTGATGAGGCGACAGCAGTTTCTGTAAGTAATCTAGAA